TTACTGCTACTAGAGTCTGCTTGCTTGGAAAATAAAATAAAGTTAGTAAATGTTTTACAGGTGGGTAAGTGTTCTAGTGACTAAGTTATTTGTGTTTATCATCCAAATCTATAAGTTTGTCCAAACAGATGGCAGAACCATGTGAGCTTGCTCCTCTGTAAAGTTTAGTAAAGGGAATTGAGTATAAATAGGCTATTTTTGTTTTCCTAGTGTCTTATAGGCTATATGATGTATGCTTTTTAAGAGTTTTTCCACCTCAGAGAAGGAACTCAACAGTATTCTATTTTTATTCTCTGTTGGTGAGCAAAAAAAAAAAAAAAAGAAAGAAAAAAGAAGGTTGTTATGAAAGAATTACATTGGACACATTTAAATGATAAGTTTGAATTACCTAATCTCTGCTCTTGAATCAATTATTTTGTGTCTTTCTCTAAAAGAGAACCTCATAGGAGAACATATATGCCACAGAGAATAATATGCACTGATTTATGACTGTCCTAATCTCTTTCACAACTCAATATCCACAAAAGAAAAAAAAATTATATTTGCCAGAACTTCCCTTGATGTAAACTCAGACCAAACCTTGTTGGTGTTTCTCTGTGAACAAAAAGAACATATGTAATTGTTAAGATGAAGCAATTAGGTTTAATACTGGATGAATGTCTACCATTAACATGAAAATGATTGTTTTAAACTAAAAGGAATTTTTTAGATTAAAAATAATTCAGATGTAGTAAATTAACTTTAAATCCTACCACTACCAGAAAAAAAAAAATGGGGTTATCACAAAGAATTATTAGGTGACTTATAGGAAACAAACAAACAAGCAAAACAAAAAAACTTCTATTTTTTTGGACACTGAAATGCAATGCGAATATCTTTTTTAATCTATTAAATAGAAACAATAATATGAACACAAACAGAAAAACAGGTTTGTGTTTCTCAGAGTAGCAGAAACCTTGTAGCTTACAGATACAGATATAAAAAACTAAAAGGTTATTTTATCATATCTCAATTGTCCTGTTGATAAACAGAAAAAGAATAAAGAGAAACTGTTTTACACATTTTTACATGATGTTATAAATCTTGAATTCTCTATTAAAATATAGCCTAACATATCCTAGAATATACAGATTATTAAGTTATTCTTAAGGATTAAAAATCATAGAACCTTAAAATTGTGTCATTTTCCCCTCTCCCCAACAGTTTATTCTTCACCCCTGATTTTTTTAGCTTTGTTTCACATGAAAAATATCTTAGCATGTATTTCAATAAAGTCAACTGCTCTTTCACTTTTGACAGAGATCTAAAAGAGTTTAAACGCCCTTATGGCATCCTGCCAGGAATCAGCTGCAGGTAGAATGGTAGACAGAATCAAACAGTAAACAAAGTTTCCACCCACTGAGAGAGCTGCTCCAAGCTAGATAATAAAGACACCAGGTTTATATGCTAGTTTTTCTTTAAGGAAAGAATGTTGGACAGTTTCCTGTTGATTGATTCTCTAAATTTTTATCTTTCATGTCCAATCTTTTCTCAGTTTTTGCTACTGTTTCTACTGTTCTTTTAAGTAAGAGTTCAATTCACAGAAGTGCTAATATTGGTTTCTTCCTGGACAAGAAAGTTATGAAAATCTTAAAGCTGACGAAATGGGATTTTTTACATCCTTCATTCATGTGACAAGTTTCTTATTGACTTAGAAAATTGTTTCACTGGGTTCCATTGCAGTCATCTTGTAGTAAACAATTAAAATATAGATGAACAATTTAATTTTTTTTTTTACAATGAAAAGGAAATTTTGTATGGGCTCTCAACTTTATGCCAAGGGAAAAGTTAACATGAGGAATTCAGGAAAGCCTGGTTTTAGCTCTCTTAGAGTGATTCTTTTTACACTGTCTATGTTGTATACAAGCCAATGAAGAACATGGGACTTATTATGGAAGAAGAGATTACTCTGAGCCCTAAAAGCTGGCTTCCATAACTTCAATTAGTATAATCTGTGTTCTTTTCATTCTTTCCAGATTTCTGGAAAGATCCTTCTTTACAACTGAGAGCCATTTCTGTTAATGAAAATGTGAACACTGCTTGCCAGTTTCCAATGGTGCCTGCATTCACACGGCTCTATGTCTGATTAATGGGTACAATTGGGGTCTTAGTTCTGGCCTCTTCTTCAGTACAGTTGTATTGAACCTGAAACTGCCTAGTGATTTTTAATATTATTTTTCATGATGCTAGGGAAAGCTACTTGAAAGGTATTTATGTTTCTGTTATATGAAAGAAGAACTGTATAATACGATGCCAGAAAGATGATCAGGTTTAATATTAGCATTTTAAGGCCAATGCTTAATTAAAGAATCCCTTTCCTAGCTTATGTAGCCATCAAGAAAAATTAGTAGTCTACAATAGAATCAAATAACTAATCTCTAAATATGTTTAACTCTAAGATACTCATAAGGTTATTCTTCATATAATGCCTTTAAATGTATAAAAGTGAAGCCTTGTCTCTAGTTAAAAAAATAAAAAGACATGTTTTAAGAATACAAATAAGAAATAAATGAGTAAAAGCATATTTTTCCCAGTTGTTTTAGCAAATGGACATTGTAGCTTAAGAAAAGTATTTCAAAGCTAATATTAAGTGAAATCATGTCAATAAGCATTATCCATCCCAACTCCCCAAATACCAGCCTATGGAACATAAGCAAAGAGTTTGCCAGGAAAGAGAATCAAGGAGTCTGTAGTCCCCATGAGAACTGTTGTGGCTTTTCTCTGCCTACTCTGACCCTCACCTCCACCCTAAGCCAACTAACCCCAAGAGAAAAGAAGAGTATGTCATTAAGTAGTGACAGAGGGCATATAGAGGGCAAGGCAGTTATGAGTTTCCTATAGATCAAGTGGTTCTGTGAAGAGAGAGCAAAGTTCAAATTAGTTAGATTGGACTCTTCCCAAGAAAGCAGGCAGCTAGTCAAGAGTGTACTTCTGAGGGATCAATGAAAGAATGTTGCCATAAAGTTTTCTGTCTGGTAGCACAGCACCAACGTCAGTGTATTAGTCCATTTTCACACTGCTATAAAGAATACCTGAGACTGAGTAATTTATAAAGAAAAGCGGTTTAAAGATGGCTGAATAGGAACAGCTCTGGAGCGCAATGCCCAGTGAGAGATGCAGAAGGCAACTGGTCTCAACATTTCCTACTGAGGTACCAGGTTTATTTCAATGGGACTGGTTGGACAGAGGGTATAGCCCAAGGAGGATGAACTGAGGCAGGATGGGGTGCTGCCCCACCTGGGAAGTGCAACTGGATGGAGAATCGGGGACTTTAACCTCTCAGCACTCTGGTTCAGATACTGCGCTTCTCCAACGGTCATTGCAACTCACAGTAAAGGAGAATGCTGCCTGGCTGAAAAGCTCTGTGAGTTACCAACATAGATGTGAGTGACAGCTCTGGCTGGACTTGTGCCATGAGTCATCAGCCCAGACCTGGGCGGCAGTTTTGACTAGGGCCAAGAATGCGTGTGGAATGGATCTACCCACCACTCCCCCACCCACCCCCGGGAAGAGGGAGAGCTGAAAGCAGGAAGACACGTGATACATCTTGGCAGGTCCAACCCCTACAAAGACCAGCAAACTGAAGCCCTCTCGCTTGAGAGTTTGACAGCCAGCATATCAGTCTGAGCTTGCCAACCTGGAATGATCAAGCTCAGTGGGGAGAAGGGCGGCCACCATTCTGAAGGTGGGTCTAATAGCACCTGTGTAAACAAAAGCCAGAGGAAGACTACACAGCAGCTGGGCTGAGTCCAAAGCAGCTCAGCAGTACCTCTGTAGGCAGATAAGGGACAAACTGCCACCTCAAGTGGCTCCCTGAACCCTGGATAACCAAAAAAATGCCTCATACAGGAGAGCTCAGGCTGATCCCTGGCAGGTACCTTTCTGGGATGAAACTACCAAAGGAAAGATCAGGAAGCAATCCTCACTGCTCTGCATGCCCCATGGGTGCTTCCTAATCAAGGAAGTGGACCTCCAGCAGTCCTACAGTAGAAGAGCCTGAGTGTTAAACGGAAAACTAAAAAACAAAAAGAAATATCTTTGACATCAACAGAAAGGACATCCACTCAGAGACCCCATCCAAAATCACCAACTTCAAAGATCAAAGGTAGATAAACCCATGAAGATGGGAAGAAACCAGCACAAAAAGGATGAAATCATCAAAGACCAGAATGCCTCTCATTCTCCAAGGGATGACAACTCCTCACCAGCAAGAGAACAAAACAGGATGGAGAATGAGTTGGATAAATTCACAGAAGCAGGCTTCAGAAGGCAGGTAATAACAAACTTCTCTGAGCTAAAGGGACATGTTCTAACCCAATGCAAAGAAACTAAAAACCTTGAAAAAAAGTTAGACAAAATGCTAACTAGAATAACTAGCTTAGAGAAGAACATAAATGACTTGATGGAGCTGAAAAACACAGCACGAGAACTTCGCAAAACACATACACGTTTCAATAGCCAAATAGATCAAGCAGAGGAAAGGATATCAAAGATTCAAGATCAGCTCAATGAAATAAAACAAGAAGGCACAGTTAGAGACAAAAGAGTGAAAAGAAATGGACAAAGCTTCCAAGAAATTTGGAATTATATGAAAAGACCTAATCTATGCTTGATTAGTGTACCTGAATGTGACAGGGAGAATGAATCCAAGTTGGAAAACGCTCTTCAGGATATTATCCAAAAGAACTTCCCCAACTTAGCAAGGTAGGCCAACATTTAAATCCAAGAAATATAGAGAACACCACAAAGATATTCCTCAAGAAGAGCAACCCCAAGGCACATAATTGTCAGATTCACCAGGGTTGAAATGAAGGAAAAAATGCTAAGGGCAATCAGAGAGAAAGGTCAGGTAACCCACAAAGGGAAGCCCATCAGACTCACAGCAGATCTCTCAGAAGAAACCTACAAGCCCGAAGAGAGGTGGGGCCAATATTCAACATCCTTAAATAAAAGAGCTTTCAACACGGAATCTCATATCCAGCCAAACTAAGATTCGTAAGTGAAGGAGAAATAAAATCCTTTACAGAGAAGCAATTGCTGAGAAGTTTTATTACCTTACAATAGCTCCTGAAGGAAGCACTAAACATGGAAAGCAACAACTGGTACCAGTCTCTGCAAAAATATACCAAATGGTGAAGACCAATGACACAATGAAGAAACCACGTCAACTAACAGGCAAAACAACCAGCTAGTAACAAAATGGCAGGATGAAATTCACACATAACAATATTAACACTAAATGTAAATTGCCTAAATGTCTCAATCAAAACACACAGACTGGCAAACAGGATAAAAAGCCAGAACCCATTGGTATGCTGTATTCAGGAGACCCATCTCACATGCAAAGACACACAAAGACTCAAAATAAAGGGATGGAAGAAGGTTTACCAAGCAAATGGAGAGCCAAAAAAAAAAAAAAAATAAACTAAACAGCAGCAGGGGTGGTAATCCTAGTCTCTGGTAAAACAGACTTTAAACCAACAAAGATCAAAAGAGACAAAGAAGAGCATTACATAATGATAAAAGGATCAATACAACAAGAAGAGGTAACAATCCTAAATATATATGCACCTATACAGGAGCACCCAGATACATAAAGCAAGTTCTTAACAACCTACAAAGAGACTTAGACTCCCACACAATAATAGTGGGAGACTTCAACACTCCACTGTGAATATTAGACAGATCAATGAGACATAAAATCAACAAGGATATCCAGAACTGGAATGCAGATCTGTTACAAGCAGTCCTAATAGACATCTACAAAACTCTTCACCCCAAATCCACAGAGTATACATTCTTCTCAGTACCACATTGCACTTACTCTAAAACTGACCACATAATTAGAAGTAAATCACTCCTCAGCAAATGCAAAAGAACATAAACCATAACAAGCAGTCTCTCAGACCACAGTGCAATCAAATTAGAGCTCAGGTTAAAGAAACTCAGTCAAAACTGCACAACTACATGGAAATTGAACAACTTGCTCCTGAATGACAACTGGATAAACAATGAAATGAAAGCAGAAATAAAGATGTTCTTTGAAACCAATGAGAAAAAAGACATAATGTAGCAGAATCTCTGGGACACATTTTAAGCAGTGTCTAGAGGGAAATTTATAGTAATAAATGCCCACATGGGAATCAAGGAAAGATCTAAAATCAACACCCTATCATCAAAATTGAAAGAGCTAGAGAAGCAAGATTAAAAAAAAAAAAAACTTAAACGCTATCAGAAGACAAGAAATAATTAGAGCAGAAACGAAGGAGATAGAGACAGAAAAAAAAAAAAAAAAAACTTCAAAAAATCAATAAGTCCAGCAGCTGTTTTTTTTAAAAGATCCACAAAATACACAGACCACTACCCAAACTAATAAAAAAGAAAAGATGCAAGAAAAAATGTTAAAGGGGATATCACCAATGATTCCACAGAAATGCAAACTACCATCAGTGATTACTACAAACAATTCTATGCACATAAACCAGAAAATTTGGAAGAAATACATAAATTCCTGGAGGCTTGCACCCTCCCAAGACTAAACCAGGAAGAAGTTGAAATCCTGAATAGACCAATAACAAGGGCTGAAGTTGAGGCAGCAATTAGTAGCCTACAAACCAAAAAAAGTTCAGGTCCATATGAATTCACAGTTTAATTCTACTAGACATACAAAGAGGAGCTGGTACCATTCCTTCTGAAACTATTGCAAACAATGCAAAAAGAGGGAATCCTCCCTATCTCATTTTATGAGACCAACATCATCCTGATAACCATAACCTGGCAGAGACACAACTAAAAAAGAAAATGTCAGGCCAATATCCATGATAAACATGGATGCAAAAATCTTCCATAAAATACTGGCAAACCAAATGCAAAAGCACATCAAAAAGCTTATCCATAACGATCAAGTAGGCTTCATCCTGGGGATGCAAGGCTGGTTCAACATACACAAATATATAAATCTAATTCATCACATATACAGAACCAAAGACAAAACCACATGATTATCTCAATAGATGCAGAGAAGGCCTTCGACAAAATTCAACAGCCCTTTGTGCTAAAAACTCTCAATAAACTAGGTATCAGTGAAACATATCTCATAATAATAAAAGCCTTTTACAACAAACCGACAGCCAATATCATACTGAATGGGCAAAAATTGGAAGCATTCCCTTTGAAAATTGGCACTAGACAAGGATGCCATCTCTCACCACTCCTATTCAAAATAGCATTGGAAGTTCTAGCCAGAGCAATCAGGCAAGAAAAAGAAATAAAGCATATCCAGTTAGGAAAAGAGGAATTCAAATTGTCTCAGTTTGCAGACAACATGATTGTAAATTTAGAAGACCACACTGTCTCAGTGCAAAATCTCCTTAAGCTGATAAGCAACTTCAGCAAAGTCTCAGGATACAAAATCAATGTGCAAAAATCACAAGCATTCCTATATACCAATAACAGACTAACAGGAGAGCTAAATCATGAGTGAACTCCCATTCACAATTGCTACAAAGAGAATAGAATACCTTAGAGTATAACTAACAAAGGATGTAGAGGACCTCTTCAAGGATAACTATAAACCACTGCTCAAGAAAATAAAAGAGGACACAAACAGATGGAAAAACATTCCATGCTTATGGTTAGGAGGAATCAATATGGTGAAAATGGCCATACTGCCCAAAGTAATTTATAGATTCAACACTATCCCCATCAAGCTACCACTGACTTTCTTCACAAAACTGGAAAAAAAAAAATACTTTAAACTCCATATGGAACCAAAAGAGAGCCCACATAGCCAATACAATCCTAAGCAAAAAGAATAAAGCTGGAGGCATCACGCTACCTGACTTCAAACTATACCACAAGGCTACAGTAATCAAAACAGCATGTTACTGGTACCAAAACAGAGATATGGACCAGTGGAACAGAACAGAGTCCTTGGAAGTAACACCACACATCTGCAACCATCTGATCTTTGACAAACCTGAAAAAAACAAGCAATGGGGAAAGGATTACCTGTTTAATAAACGGTGTTGGGAAAGCTGGCTAACCATTTGCAGAAAGGTGAAACCCCTTCCTTACATCTTACACTAAAATTAACTCCAGATGGATTAAAGATTTAAACATAATACCTAACACCATAAAAACCCTAGAAGAAAACCTAGGCACTACAATTCAGGACATAGGCATAGGCAAGGACTTCATGACTAAAACACCAAAAGCAATGGCAACAAAAGCCAAAATAGACAAATGTGATCTAATTAAACTCCAGAGCTAACTAAACTAAACTTAAGTTTCTGCACAGCAAAAGAAACAATGATTAGAGTGAACTGGCAACCAACAAAATGGAAAAAAATGTTTGCAATCTACCCATCTGACAAAGAGTTAATATCCAGAATCTACAAATAACTAAAACGAATTTACAAGAAAAAAAAATATAAAAGTGGGCAAAGGATATGAACAGACACTTTTCAAAAAAAGACATTTTATGAGGCCAAAAAACATGAAAAAATGCTCATCGTTACTGGTCATCAGATAAATGAAAATCAAAACCACACTGAGATACCATCTCTCACCAGATACCATCATTACCATTTAATTATACCACTTAATGGTAATTAAGAAAAAAATCAGGATGCTGGAGAGGATGTGGAGAAATAGGAACACTTTTACACTGTTGGTTGCAGTGTAAATTAGTTCAACCATTATAGAAGACAAAGTGGTGATTCCTCAAGGATCTAGAAATAGAAATTCTGTTTGACCCAGCAATCCCATTATTGGGTATATACCCAAAGGATTATAAATTGTTCCATTATAAAGACACATACACATGTATGTTCAGTGTGGCACTGTTTACAATAGCAAAGACCCGGAACCAACCCAAATGCCCATCAATGATAGACTGGACAAAGAAAATTTGGCACATACACACCATGGAATACTATGCAGCCATAGTAAACAACGAGGTTGTGTCCTTTGTAGGGACATGGATGAACCTGGAAACTATCATTCTCAGCAAACTGACACAACAACAGAGAGCCAAACACCTCATGTTCTCAATCATAAGTGGGTGTTGAACAATGGGAACACATGGGCACAGGGAGGGGAACATCACCCCCTGAGGTCTGTTTGGGGTTGGGGGCTACAGGAAGGACAGCTGGGGATGGGTGGGTAGGGGAGGGATACCACTGGGAGAAATGCCCGATGTAGGTGACAGGGGGATGAAGAGAGCAAACTACCATGGCATGTGTGTACCTATGCAAGAGTCCTGTAAGATATGCACATGTACCCGAGAACTTAAAGTACAATTAAAAAAAAAAAAAAAAAGGTTTAATTTACTTGGTTTTACATGGCTGCTGTGGCCTCAGGAAACTTACAATCATGGCATAAGTGAAGGGGAGGCAAAGCATATTTTACATGGCAGTAGAGAGAGAGAGAGAGAGCAGGGGAAACTGCCACTTTTAAACCATCAGATGTCATGAGGATTTCCTGGATATGAGTTAGGAGTTTATCTTTGAATCTAAAAAAAGGTGTGTATTTCTTCAGATTGACCAGAAAGCTGTGGGATCTACCCAAGATTACATCAAAAGGTAGAAAAAAAATTTTATTTGTGTATCCACAATAGATTTAATTCATTCAATGAACAAGTTATACTCACTCAAAATTTTAATAGTTTAATGTTATTATATTATTAGCAACATGATTATTTGGGACTAGCAGAGAATATATACTCATTTATAACAGATTTAATCTTCCCTGTGATAGGTTGCAGTGATGGGGAAAAAAGAATCTTTGCTCTTATTAATCTGTAGCTCTCTCAATGACATCATTTCATACAAATTAAAAAAAACTCCATAAAGTAGATAAAAATAATAAATGTTACTTACTTAAATATATGTGTTAGGAATTATACACAGTACTTTAGAATTATTATCAGTTTTTAACCTCACAAAATAATTTATTTTATTTTTTACATTTTTGTTACAAATATGAGAAATGTATTTTTTTCTTCCATGTTTTCTATAACGATATCTTTCTGGATGCGCAAGTGACAAGCAAATTCTATATCCCAATAAAAGCTTTACATCAAGGTTGTACTGGAAGTTAAACTCATTACTTTAGAAAGGCATGAATGTAATTAGGGCTTGGCTATCTGCATTTCTTTTAAATTATGGGACCAAATATCATACACAGAAAAATTAAGTGAATGAACTTGTCACAAAATGAAGAATGTAGTGATAGATACACTTTTAGAAATATCTTACAAGCCGTGTGGCAAAGAATCACTTTGTTTTTATTTTGCAAAGAATTTTTGGAATGGGTTAGTAATGCATTGTACATATAACTAGAGGAAGCTATAAACAATATGTATGCAACACAAGACAGCAGTATTTATACCTCATGTCACTTAAAATACCACTAATTATATATAATAGTTGTAAAAATACTATGTTTCCAAATGGTAGGCATACTTGAAAATGAAGATACTTAAAAATTAAATTTTATATCCATATTTAGAATCACAAATTAGAAGACATAAAGACATGCCTTTATGTAAACTTTGCAGATGAAATGTGATGAGTTTATGGGCAGATGGGCAGGAGCATATGCTAGATAGAAAAGGAACACTCTAGGTTCACCTGATAGGGAATAATATTTTTAAAGTGAGTCTAAAATGTAGTTATTGGTGTATTAGGGAAACTACTTTAGCAGTTTTAACAAAACCTCACAAATCACAGTGACTTAAAACTCTCTTAAAGGATACTCACTCATAAAATTCCAAAGCTGATGCATCTTGATACAGTAACACTCTTTCAAGTGGTGACTCAGAGATCCTTTCTCCTTCTATTTGCAGCAATGCAGGGAAGCACTGGATACGCTTCATAGAGCAGAAAGATAAAGGAAAATGCTGGTGGAAATTGTGAAGATCTAGGAAACCAAGTGTTATATAATTTCTTCCAGATTTTATATTATAAAACTGTCCACAAGGTATCACATAAGATAAGGCTCAGTAGGAAATGCAGTTGTCTCATGTGCCCAGGAAAACATTGTAATGGTTTGATAAATACATGACATCATCTTGACCATAAATTATGGGAAAATTTTGTATTATTTAACCACAATTAAAGATATCTTTAAGGCTGTCTTTTGGGACTAGCAGAGAATATATACTCATTTATAACAGATTTAATCTTCCCTATGATGGGTTGCAGTGATTGGGAAAAAAATAAATAAATAAATCTTTGCTCTCACTAGTCTGCAGCTTTCTCAATGATACCATTTCATGAAAAAAAAAAAAAAAAACCTCCATAAAGTAGACAAAAATAATAAATGTTACTTACTTAAATGTATGAGTCAGGAATTATAGATAGTACTGATTCAGTATCAGTTTTAATTTCCAAATACCACAAGTTGAATGAAGTTAGACCAGAAGTTCTCAAAACATGATCTGAAGACTCTTCTTTCTTCGTTTAGAAAGTCTTCAGTGTCAAAATTATCTTCATAACAATGCTGAAACCTTTGATTCGCCCTTCTTTCTCTCATTCTATGTATGTGGTAAAGTTTTCCAAAGGCTACATGACACATGCTTGTATATTTTTGTTTTTTTGAATGAAAAAAATAGTGCTAGTTTTAAATATGGTAAATGAGAAGAAGTCTAATCTGAATAATCAAAGCTCTTGGGTATTTTAAATAATTTTTCAGAGGATAAAGGAATTCAAAACAAATATGTTTAAGGACTTAAAGAAATAAGTGGTGATTATTATAAAACAGATAAAGCTATTAAGTTAAAAATGGAAGCTAAAAGAAAAAATATATAAATGCTAGGACTAAAAATCATAGTATCTTAAAGAGAAAAAAAATAGGTCAGTTTAACATTAATACTGAAATCTGCCTCAGAAAATTTAGTAAACCTGAAGCAAAATCAATGGTAGTATTTCAATGTAAAGAATAGAAATATTAAACTTTATGAAATCTCAGTAATCTAAGATAAAATATTAAGAAAAAATATTTGAATTTAATTGAAGGAGGAGGAGAAGGGACAGATAATAATGCTTGGTAAAATAAAAAATATATACATACAATTATGTTTCCGATATCACAGTGATATATCTTGAGAAATACATTGTTAGATGATTTCACTTTTGTACAAACATTATAAAGTGTATGTACATAAATCTAGATGACATAGCCCACTATACACCTAAGATATATAGTATAAGCTATTGCTCCCAGGCTACACACCTGAATAGCCTGTTACTATGCTAAGAAAAGTACTTTAGACAACTGTGATACAATGGTAGGTGAGGTGCATCTAAACATATCCAAACAGAAAACGTAAGGTAAAAATATTATATAAAATATTTTATAAGCGGTAAACCTGTGTAGGGCACTTTCCATAAATGAAGCTTGAAGAACTGGAAGTTCTTCTGAGTCTGTGGGTGAATAGTTAAGTGAGTGTGAAGGACTAGGATCTTATTGTATACTAATACAGACTTTAAAAACATTGTATATTTAGGCTATACTAAGTTTATTAAAAAGTATTGTCTTTTCTTCAATAATAAATTAACCTTAGCTTGCTGCAACTTTTTTAGTTTAAAAACTTTTAATTTTTAAACACCTTCTGACTCTGTAATAACACTTAGCTGAAAACACAAATACATATTTTCTCACTTTATAGTCTTATTCTACAAACTTTTTCCATTTTTAATTTCTACTTTTTAAGCTTTTTTTTGTAAAAACTTAAAACACAATCATATACATTATCTTAGGGATACACAGGGTCAGAATCGTGAATATCACTGTCTTCCACCTCTACATCTTGTCTCACTAAGGCTGATTTACAGATAACTTTTTAGTAAGGAGAAAGAGTACACCCTAAAATAATATTTAAAAGTGTGATATAGTAAACCTATAAATAAATAAACATTATCATTCATTATCATTATCAAGTGTTATGTACTATACATAATTGTGTGTACTATGCTTTTATATGATTGGAACACAGTAAGTTTGTTTATAACAGCATCACCAAAACCACATGAGCAATGCATTGTATTATAATGTCACTAGGCAATAGGAATT